GTTATGTTGACTGTTAAATGGCTGGCTCTCACTGCGCACAGAACTCGGAGGAAACTCTAGGTTCCAGGATGTCTCTGCTTCGGACCAGATGTTATAAGCGCAGAGGAAGCACTGCCAGCACCCCAGCTGCTCTTGTACTTGACCAGACACCATTATGGTGACTGTACTATTGCTAATGCCATCTTAAGGAAAGAGTAACATGAGACTAGGAACAGTAATATTGTCCACAAGAGCCAGGAACATTTCTGTCCTTTCAATTCTGTAAATACTTTTCCATTCAAGGACATATTGATCATTGTTAAATATTTTCATCCAAAGCTGTGCTCTTGATATTGGTCTTCTTTTCTTTGGTTTATGATGATGTTATCTCTTTTGCATGTTGACAAATGTCATTAAGCCAAAGGGACTGTGAGATGATGTGAAAATAAAACCATGGAGTTTTACTGGGAGACAGCTTATCCTAGTTTTGAAGGCCTCTATCCCTTTGCTACACAAAGCCTGGTGCATGGACCAGAGCTTTGACATCACCTGGATACTTGTTAGAACTGCAGAAGGGGGACTTCCGGCTAAGATGGAGGCATAGGTAGACACACTGTGCCTCCTCCCACAACCAAAAGAATGTCAACAACAAATTTAAAAACAAAAAACAACCAGAAGTGACAGAAAATCGAACTTTATGGAAGTCCGACAACCAAGGAGTTAAAGAAGACATATTCATCCAGACCAGTAGGAGGGGTGGAGTCGGGCAGCTGGGCAGAGAGGACTCTCAGCAGGGCGGCGGCTGGTGGACTGGGCAGTCCCACATTCTCATGTAGATAAACCAGGAGGAACAACTGGGGAGTGAGACAGACCAGGCAACCCAGGGCTCCAGTGCGGGGAAATAAAGCCTCAAACCTCGGATTGAAAACACCTGTGGGGGTTGAGGCAGCAGTGGGAGAAGCTCCCAGCCTCACAGGAGAGTTCATTGGAGAGACCCTCAGGGTCTGAGAATGTACACAAGCCCACCTACCGGAAATCAGCACCAAAAGGGCCCAATTTGCTTGTGGATAGCCGAGAACGTGACAAAACCAGCAGAGTGCAGAGCAAACGGCACTGTTCCCTCTCGGACCTCTTCTCCACGTTCAGCATCACAACGCAGCAAGGTAATTTACCTCACCCGGGTGAACACCTAAGGCTCCGCCCCTTATTACGTAACAGGCGTACTGAGACCAAAAAAAAAAAAAGGTCCAAATGAAAGAACAGATCAAAGCTCCAGAAAAAATACAACTAAGCAATGAAGAGATAGCCAGCCTATCAGATGCATAGTTCAAAACACTGGTGATCAGGATGCTCACAGATTTGGTTGAATATGATCACAAATTAGAGGAAAAAATGAAGGCAATGCTAAGTGAAATAAAGGAAAATGTACAAGGAATTAAGAGTGATGGGAAGGAAGCTGGGACTCAAATCAACAGTTTGGAGCAGAAGGAAGAAAGAAACATTCAACCAGAACAGAATGAAGAAACAAGAATTCAAAAAAATGAGGAGAGGCTTAGGAACCTCCAGGACATCTTTAAACATTCCAACATCCAAATCATAGGGGTGCCAGAAGGAGAAGAAGAAGAGCAAGAAGTTGAAAACTTGTTTGAACAAATAATGAAGGAGAACTTCCCCAATCTGGCAAAGGAAATAGACTTCTAGGAAGTCCGGGAAGCTCAGAGAGTCCCAAAGATGATGACCCAAGGAGGAACACACAAGGCACATCATAATTACATTAGTCAAGATTAAAGATAAGGAGAGAATCTTTTAAGAATTTTTTTATGATTTTATTTATTTTTTAGAGAGGGAGGGGAGGGAGAGAGAGAGAGAGAGAGAGAAACATCAATGTGCGGTTGCTGGGGGTCTTGGCCTGCAACCCAGGCATGTACCCTGACTGGGAATCGAATCTGCGACACTTTGGTTTGCAGCCTGCACTCAATCCACTGAGCTATGCCAGCCAGGGCTAGGAGAGAATCTTAAAAGCAGCAGGAGAAAAGGAGAGAGTTACCTACAAAGGAGTTCCCATTAGACTTTCAGCTGATTTCTCAAAAGAAATCTTGCAGGCAAGAAGGGGCTGGAAAGAAGCATTCCAAGTCATGAAAGTCGAGGACCTACATCCAAGATTGCTCTATCCAGCAAAGCTCTCATTTAGAATGGAAGGTCAGATAAAGTGCTTCTCAGACAAGGTAAAGTTAAAGGAGTTCATCATCACCAAGCCCTTATTATATGAAATATTAAAGGGACTTATCTAAGAAAAAAAAGGTAAAAAATATGAACAGTAAAATGACAACAAACTCACAGTTATTAACAACCAAAGCTACCTGGCTGGCGTAGCTCAGTGGATTGAGCGCGGACTGGGAACCAAAGTGTCCCAGCCAGGGTACATGCCTGGCTTGTAGGCCATAACCCCCAGCAACCGCACATTGATGTTTCTCTTTCTCTCTCCCTCCCTTCCTCTCTCTCTGTCTATCTCCCTCCCTTCCCCTCTAAAAATAAACAAATAAAATCTTAAAAAAAAGCAACCAAAGCTAAACATACACACACACACACACACACACACACACACACACACACACACGCAAACTAAGCAAACAACTAGAACAGGAACATAATCACAGAAATGGAGATCACATGGAGGGTTATCAGAGGGGGAGTGGGAGGGAGAAAAGGTACAGAGAATAAGTAGCATAAATAGTAGGTAGAAAATAGAAAGGGGGAGGTTAAGAATAGTATAGGAAATGTAGAAGCCAAAGAACTTATATGTATGACCCATGGACATAAACTAAATAGGCGGATGCGGGTAGGAGAGGGTGTGCAGGGCAGAGGGGAATAAAGGTGGGGGGGATGGGACAACTGTAATAGCATAATCAATAAAATATATTTTAAAAAATTAAAAAAAAAAACCTGCAGAAGGTCTGCATCCAGACCTACTGAATCAGCACCTGCATTTTAACAAAGTTCCTGTGTGGGGCTAATGTGCAGTATGTAAGAGACACGTTGCCATCTTCTCCATCTTAGCTGCACATCAGAGTCCCCGGGGAGCTTTAGGAAGCACTGATCCCTGGGTCCTGCCCACAAAGATCCCGACATAGTTGGCACTGGGATTTTTAAAGCCTTCCCACGTAACTGCAATAAGCCAATAAGGTGGAGAACTTGAGCTTCAGACACATCCTTTCCTCGTCCTATACTTAGTCCTACAATATTTATTTCTCTAACAGTGAAAATCTCTCCCTGTTGTTTATATCACTGAATGGATGAGCACTTCCTAGAGAGTGCCACACAATTTGATGACTCACTTTCAGTTTTAACAATAACCTTTAGGAATTGTTTTCTGAACCTTTGCCAAGGTCTCCACATCCCTTTTATTGTGAAGTCCGGCACAGACACCGTCCTCCCGATCAGCCTTAAACGGCACTGAGCATCAGCACAGAGGACGATTGTGTCCTTCTGAATGAAAGGTACTGTGATAAACATGTCAGACCATTTGAATGGGGTGCGGGAGGGGGTGACTTAATGACCAAGCAAAAGGTCTTCTCATGCCTACACTCAGCCTGGGAGTGAATGAGCCAGTTATGCGAGGAGAAACTCTACCTTCCCAGTGTTGAGTTTTCCTAGTGGAGCAATCAATGTGCTGTTATTTAACCAAGTAATTCATCAGCTTTCCTGCTTCTGTAATTCACGGATGACCAAACATTAAGACAGTTATGCTGACTCAAAAAATTTGGCTGATGTCCTCAGCATAAAAGTCACCTGAACTTTAGACCTCAGAGGGTGAACTCCCAACCTGACTACTCAATTTATGAAGTCACCTGGGTTGCTTACATAGATGTTTGGACAAAGGTATTTGTGGTTTTAAAAAGCTAGCTCTTAACTTTAAGGCAGAATTCTTGTTAAATTTAGATTCCCATTCCATAGGTCTGGGTGGGGCCTGAGATTCTTTGTTTCTGACTGTCTTGAACGTGATGCTTCATTGCTGGGTCGTGGACCACATTCTGAATGACAATACCCTTGAAAATCTGACAATCATCAAGCTGAGGAATCAGAACTTTTTAGGCATCGCAAATATTGCTTGAAACATGAAAAGCTCATTTTCATTGTTCATCAGTAGCTCATTGAGAATGAGACATAGGTTGATGTCAAGTGTCATTGGGCAAATTCAATTTTGATCAGTGGAAGAAACATGGTTGAGAATGTTTAATTACATTCATGCTTTGCCAATGCAAGGATCTTAGATCCTTTATTTCTCTAGTGATCTATTCTTTGGAGTTCACCATCAAACACAAAGGCAGGAAGAACCATTACTTTAAATTCATATTATTTTAGCTGATGTATCTGGAGCACGGTGATAAATTAATCATGACGTCTGGTCTGATTCACAATCATATTCTAGGCCAATTTACACTTTGAATTTGCAGAACTGAAGTGTGGTGCATTAAGATGGTACGAACATCACCGATTATTCTCTTCACTGAACTCATGCAGACGGGCGCTCTCTCCGTCCTTTCGCTGAAGCACCTGCCTCAAGATCCAGGCTAACCGTGAATGGGCCTTATGCAGCCACCCTGAGCCTGGAGGCAGGAGAGAGGAGGATCCGGCGCTGAGGACTCAGCCGGTGCCTAGTGAGCCTTGCCTGCTTTCGAGAGAGTGTGGGAGTCATTAAAAAAATAAACAACAACAACAACAACAACAACTTCCTAGCTTAAAGACCAAGACAGATATTCTCGGGGACGGGCAAGCAGCGTGCGGTGGTTACTAAACATAACAGATGGCAGCTGTCTGCGGCTATATAGGGCGCACTGACAAATCCCCAGGGCGGCCTAGGGCGCTCGGGAGGCGGCGGGCTGCTGACGTGCTGCAGCCGCCCGCCCCGCCCCGCTCGGAGGACCGGGGAGAAGGCTGCCCTCCTGCGAGGCCCCTGGAGTGCAAGGTGAGGGTGGTCTAACTCCCCGGCTGGGCGGGGCAGAAGAGGCCTTTCGGCGGCTTCATCTGCCCTCCCACCCCGCCGGCGCCCAGCTCGGAGCGGCGCTCAGGAGGCTCCCCTCTTTCACGTCCCTGGGTGACTGAGCCCAGCGAGCATTCATCCAGGCCGGCGCGGCTCGTCGCCCTGCAAGGGTACGCGCGTGAGGCTGGGATCCGGTAACTCTTGCAGCCTTACAAGGCCCCAGTGCTGCTGGTAAAGCAGCAGACACGCCCGCACTAAGGATGGTATGGAACGACGTTGGAGGCTTAATTTCATGTGCAATGGGTCTTAGCCACGATTTCCACGTGGTAAACCTATTTTCCAAACCCCAAATCAATCATCTGTCAGACGACTTTTTTCTCTGATTGGGAGATTTATTCAGATGTGGAAAGTCCTACAAAACTGGCAAAATTAAGTGCCTTTTAGAGATATATGTGCCCATTTTAATACTTTTACTGAAAATAGTAAAAATTAATGACACTGGACAGCATTGGCAGTCAGGGAAGCTTCCTGGAGGACAGAGAGAGGCAGGTAGGCTTCTGAGCTGGGGCTGGGGGCAAGGGGGCAGGTATTTGAGACTTCTGAGGACAGAATAGCCATAGTTACTATAATTTTCAAGCTGCAAAGATCATTGGGATTGAAGGGCAGACAAACTGTACATCAGACAGCTTATCTCTAAATCACTGGGGAGGCGAGGAACTGTGCCCAGACTTCCGGCTAAGGTTCTGAGTCTCTGCAACACATCATGACAATGATCTCACAGGTCGTCATGCTCCACTCTGGCTTGTGTGGCAGAGTCCGTGAAAAAGTCTCCTCTTCCCCACTCCTCACAGGCTTCTTGACCCTCCATCAATACCTGGCAGGGACCCAGGCTTCCCTCTTTTCCCCTCAGTCACTTTGCAGTGCTTTTCATTGATGCTAAGTAAGCCACGTTTCATTCATTCATTCAACAAATGTTTGAGAGTCTTTTATGTGTTAAGCTCAGGTACTCACAATCTAAACAACATAGGTGGAATCCCTGTTTGAGTGGCACTTGCAAGAAGCAAGATAAACCAGTAAAATCTGTGAACAGTCCACCGGCAATGGGCTGGTGACAGTCTCCTGCAAACAGAATCCTTCCTTTTGACTTAATGAGAAACTGAAACAGGAAGGGTCCCCACCTCATGTGAAGTTATTATGGTGGTTACTCAGCAATTTCAAAGTAAAAGCCAGAGCTGATGGAAGAACCCATTTGTTTGAAAGGATAGAAGAAAGTTCTAATTCCTTCTTACAAACTTAGGAAGTTCATCTGGTGGAGGGGTCTTGGGCTACATAAGAACTTCTCCCCAGTAATGTTGGTCTGTGAGTAAAGTAAACATGTGATTGTGAGGCCTTAAGAAACATGAGCTTTCTGTCTCCATTCTTGGGAACTCTTAGGTCAGACAGAAAATGCAGGGCCTCTGGCACCGGAGTTCACTGGGACCACAATCTATTAACCCTTTTTAACTCCCCCTCCGCCCCCTCATGTTCCCCCTCCCCTCCTTCCCCACCTTCAATTCCATGGGCAGGCATTGTAATTATTTCCTTATCTCTGCCACAGGGTCCTGTTTCAATGGTTTCCAAAGCCTAGAGGTAGTTGTGTATCTATCCTAGATAAGCTGGAACAGACTAGCCTACCTGTCCAATTCCTTTGCTTCTGACAGCAATAGTTATCCGCTGTGGTGAGAGTGTCTGAGCAGTTCCCAGTTACTCACGAAGGAGTATTTGGATGTTAATACCAGAATGCCGCACAAGGCCACAATGAATATTAGATACAACTGATTGCACACACGCGCACTCACACACACAGACTCACACACACATGGACTCACACTCGGGCTTGAGTCAACTCTATTATCAAACCTATATGTGCCCATTTTACAAACATGGGTTTATGTGTCCTCTTTTACTCCCTTTGTTTTCTATATAGAATCTGGATTTTTCAAAATACTTTATTTTGTCATTGTAGATTATAGTTATAGTTACACGTACTCAAGATAATTTAAGGCAATATATGGATGAACTTTAAAATTTTATAATAGTTATGTCTATGTTTACTTATTTACTTATTTTTAGAGAGAAGGGAAGGGAGAAAGAGGGGGAGAAAAACATGGTTGTGTGAGAGAAACACCGATCGGTTTCCTCTTGCGCTCCCCCAGCCGTGACCTGGCCTGCAGCCTAGGCGTGTGTCCTGACTGGAATCGAACCTGTGACCTTTTGCTCTGTGGGATGATGCCAAACCCACTGAGCCACACCGGGCATATAGTTGTGTATGTTTTAAAAGTCTATTTAAAATATACAAATGGATTATCAAACTCATTTCACAGAAATCACTCAGGATGCAAACAAGCTTTTTTTTTTTTTTAAATCAAGGTACATATAAGGCACATGGTTCTCAGATACGACAAAAATAACGCAGGCAGAAAGGAAGGCCTAAAACTGGTCACAGGTTCACATATGACCCAGGAGGACCGAAAAGGGCAACTGCTGTTGGCCCTACAGAAAGAGCCCTTAATAAAGTATGCTCCAGTCTGAATTTGCCAGACATCCCATTAGCCCTCACTAGCAGACGAATAAAACCAACCAGGTGCCCATGGCTTAAGTAAAATATTTATTTTCTCTGCAACTCAAGACAATTCTGCCATACAATGTTATGAACAGAACACTGTCCAGCTCCAAGGTCATCTGTGTTCAATGTGATTATGGCTTTAGATCTTTAGAGCTTGCGGGCATTAGGAACATGCCAGAAGCCCTCCAGTCACAGCAAAGCTTCCTTTAGAAAACTGCCCACTATTTAAAAGCCTGTTCAGAAAGCTCCATGTCAGTCATGAGCTATGTTTTTGCTTCCCTTTAACATTTCAACTCTCAACTCCAAGAAGCTTATTTAACAGAACTTCAAAACTTAAAATGGATTTATTTATATTTTTAAAAGAAGAAATAACCACATAGACGGAATCATCCAGTGCTTCTCAGCAGGGGTGCCCATGGCCTGGGCCAGTAGTTTAGCATTGCTGCCTCATGGTGCTAACTGCCAGTAGCGCCCCTCCAAGTCTCTGTGACAATTAACCACCACCTCCCCCTCCACACCCGTCCCCAGTGGGCAGTATCTCCCTTGCTTGAGAACACAACTGCCTAACTTATTCAAAGGAACCCTACATCCAGAAAGGACAAAGGATTTACCCCCCAAAAACGACACCTAATTGGTATGGTGTGGGTTTCCAGGCAGAACAGAGGGGAGCGTCAGACGACCTCAGACACTGGGGATGACTGAAAGGTTACAGGGTGGGTGAGGAGACCTAGGAAATGACTCAGGGGTGTCCCAGCCTAACGGAGAGGCAGAGCACCGTCTCTCACCGCTGCAGATTCAACAGCAGATGTGCGCTCTCGGGCAGCTCTAGGGACCTGGCCACCATGCCATCTGTCCCAGGTGCTCAGGGGCACAGGGCACTCGGCTTTCCTCTAACTGCATCATCTTCTGCTGCTTTTTTTTCCTGCTTTGCTTCCCCTCAGACCGTTTCCTTATGGCCTCTACCCTCTTACCCTCTTTCTGATTGTCTTACATTTGCACTTTTCTCAAGAAAATACAAATGGGATCATTGGACATCACCAATATAAAGCATGCTCTTGGGGCAGAGCTTTCTCCCAGGCTACCCCAGAGGCCACCCATGCAGCCTGAAGCTGGTTGTTTGGGCTTAGGACCAACAGCCTATTAGGACCCAGCAGGGGGCAGCATAGCTAGATTTTGAAGGCAGTCTGCTAGGGTTTGAAAGCCAGATCCATCCCCAAACCCCTGGGCAACTTCAGTTGTCTTGTTCCTCAGTCTCTTGTGGGTTAATTGATGTTAACAGTGTAGACCTCGAGAAACATGTATGTGTAGGGATGGAGTTAAGGCATTAAAGTACTTCGCACTTAGTGAGTATTTGAAAAACACTAGCTATTTTTGTTGCTGCTATTGTTATCATTAGGTAGAAATGGATTATTATTAAGTAGGAAGCACGTATCTTCTGACCCCCTCTCCCTCACACACACATCTGACCAGTGATCTCCAGACTTTTCAAGTATCTTCATTGGCCACAGGCAGTGAAGGCGCACGCCCGGGGGATGGAGCGGAGGTGAGGTTCCCAGTGCCCACGTGCAAGCCCGGTATTTCCTTGAAGTCAATGGTTTTTATCTTTGTTTTATATTCAGTTTCATATATTGCTTACACAGTACACACAATTCAGTGTGCTTTTTAAACTTGTACTATTGCTTCATATAACCATGATGGTTCTAATACAAAATACCTTAAATTCTTACTAGTTAAAATGTTTGGGCCCTGGCTGGTGTGGCTCAGTGGTCTGAGTGCTGGACTGCAAAGAAGAGGGTCACTGGTTCAATTCCCAGTCAGGGCATGTGCCTGGGTTGCAGGCCAGGTTTCTCGGTGCAGGGAGCATGAGAAGCAACCACACATTGATGTTTCTCTCCCTTTCTTTTTCCCTCCCTTCCCCTCTGTCTAAAAATAAATAAACAAATAATCGTTTTTTTTTAAAGTTTGGTTTTTGTCCAAAAAAATCTTTAAAAAAATCGATGCCCCAGGGAGGGAGTTTCACACGTTCCTCTGCTAGCACAAGCCTAGGACTACACATACCTCCTTCTGTGTCACCAGAGTCCTCACGCCTCCACGGGCGGGAGTTTTCCTTCTAGAAAGATCAAATAGGAGGACGCGATGTAAGTCACTAAACTGCCAAACATGTCCAACATTTTGTTCAGTGGAAGACATGCAGTAAGGACTACAGGGGACTCCCCCGCACAGCAGCCCCTGTTTAGCCACACTAACATGTCTCCGGGGCGTAGGCCACACCTCTCAGCCTTCCGCAGTGGGTGAGAGGGACATCAACCCATCTGTGCCCGAATTTCAGTGGCCCCAAGTCCCTTGCTCCCTACTTGGCCATAGAAAACACCTTCTTTTACATATTCCCCTCTTCCTAAAGTATTTCCAGGGACCCCTCGAAGTTGTTACAGGAATCTGCCTGTCATCCCTTGCTACTGCTGGTGGCCAAATCGTAACTCCTCATCTCAGGCTCCAGTGAATCCTCAGAAGTTTCCCTTTGCAGGCATCTGCCATTGTTCTGCCGCCTCCATTCCCCAATTCAAGGTTTGCCGTTCGGGGTGTTCTGTTCAAGAGCAAGACGTGGTTTTCCTTAGGCAGTCCTAAGTAAATTTGGACTCACATCCAAAGCTCTGTCTCCCTGAAGGGAGGTTTAGCTATTGCTCATATAGTCTAATTTGGTCCATTACACAGTTGATTTGTTGTTTTTCTTGTTTTTCGCAGCTGGCTACTTTCATTCAGGTTGGGTTCCTGTCAGCTCATCCTGTTTACAGCTGGTCTGCAAAACACTGTGCTACATTTTAACATTTAGCAAGAATAGCATCTAGTAGGAGAACCACCCAGACCCCGAGACCCTTGTGCTAACACCTCCACCAGCAGGGCTGAAAAGGTACTGTGCCCCAGCACCTGTGGGCAACCCCTGTTCTCATGAAGAGAAGAAAATCTGTTTTTACTTTTGCCTATTTGGGTCCCAAATATTACATATTGAATGATACCCTCTCTCTTGCCACCCGAGCCAGGACGCTGCCACCTCCAGAGCTCCACAGAGGTGCTGTGCTGCCTGGGTGTTACCTCGCTTCCATTCCCGTCACTACTGTCACCACGGCCCAGACGTGGACAGAGCAGAAAACCCTGCTTGGCTCCGTGCAAGCGGAACAAGCCGCCTGTGGCTGCCTGAGACTGACAGAACTCGAGTGTGCAGGCTGCCCTGTGAGGCCAGAGGTCCGGGCTACTGCTCCGGAAAAGCGAAAGGATACGCCTTCTGAGTCATACTCGGCTTGCGGGGAGCAGGGAAGGTGTTCCACTGTAAGGATGGAGTCCTAAAGTGTTCGAGTCTTTCCTGTGGGAGCAGAGAACCCCACATCTCACGACACACGACTCCTACCACATTTCCTGCAAGCATTTCCTGCGATTTGTTTTTTGTTATAGCCCCAATCCCCTGCTGGACAAGGATGAAATCTCTTTCACAGGAGGCTCCTCAGCCCTTGTGTAAATCAGTGAACACCAACAGCTCTGGGGACCCTCCCTACTTCCACAAACGTGCCATCTTCTCTCATCTCCAAGTGTTGCCATGCTCTTCCCTCTACCTGTCCCACCTTTCCCTCTCTCCTTCCTCAGGCCATCCGCTCCAAATAACTCCCACCCTTCCTTCAGGTCTCAGGTCTCTCCTTCATCGACCTCTGGCCTCCCATCTGAATGGGGTGCCCTACTCTGTCCTCACACAAACCCCTCAACTTTCCCTTCTCATTATTACACTTTATTACACTTGCTTGTTTGGTTGGGTCTCCTCCCTGGAAGACTGAATGCTGTGAGCATGAGGATTAGAACTAGGAAGAGGCCGACATTTGCCACTGATGGTCAACAGCGACTGGACGCAGGGTGGAGGGTGGGTGTGGCCCAGCTCCACTCTGCATAAGGTGCAGAGGAGAGAAGGGGCTGTGTGGGCAGCCTGTTTTCCTTCCGTCTGCGTCATATGCAGGTGAGTGAAATGACCAACCTGCCGATCTGAGCCCCTTCAGAACGTCTTAGCCAACAACTGGACTCATCTTGTACCCAGGAACGTAAGTGGCAGGGGGACTGATCGATGATGCAGGCTTGCTCTGCAGAACAGGTCAGCCGCCCAGTCACGGTGTGATGATCCCGCCTGTGACCACAAATGCCTGACGCAGGGGACTTGAACTTAGAAAGCCCTTAGTTTGCAATTAGAGTAAAGCTCCCCTCCCAGCAGTAAAGCTGTTAGAGTAGCTGCCAATAAAATTGGCAAGTTTGTAAAAAGCAGAGAGAAGTGTGGTGCGGAGCACAGCCTGGAGGGGTGAAGCAGGAGATGGACTCCCCGCTTCAACACTCCGCCTTTCTGTGCCTCATGTCTCCAGAAAGAGGAGCTGATGGAGCGAGATCTTCTTGATCAGCCCGTGCTGACACCTGGTTCCCACTCCGGGCCCAGGTCCACTGCAGGCCAGCGTCTGCAACAACAGAGGTCACTGCACCTGAGCTTTCCACACACCAGTTAGGAGCTTAGGTCTCCGAAGCAAGTCTGGGTTGGATCCTCTGAGTGAGCCTCTTAGCTACCTTGGGAACTGGGACAGTTCTCTTGCACGAGTCTTAGTCTCCTCATCTGTGGCTTGGAGAGGCCAGTTAATCGTCAGGTTGTTATAACTAAAGGAGAGGAGTTCTTACACATAAAGTACTCTGGAACAGTGCCAAGCAAACGCTCAATAAATGTTCCCTATTACTGTTAAGTGACCAATGTTTTCTGTTTTAGGGTTAATTTTTAAGTGGGTTATGTCACAATGAATAATCTGTTTTCTACGTTTATTGGCCTGTAAATTCAGTGAGTGAGACCTGCCCATAATCTTGAGAATGGTTGGGAGAAAACGTCAGGTGGAGAAGAAGAGGCTTTTCACCTCCTAGCTATGAGAGAGACAAATCCTCCGTCTTCGCTGCCGTACTCCACGGTGTAAACAGCTGCTGCCTATCGTACGTGTCCCGGGGGCCGGCTCCAAGTCCCCTGCCAGAAAGTCACAACAGGGAACATATTTCATGAAAGTTCTCCCTCATTAATTTATCATCATTTTTTGGCAGGGTCACAGAGAAAGTCAAAGACCCAGAGTCAAGTACTTGTGATGGAAGAAGATCCTTTTTCTACTTCTTTGACAGATAGGGCCAAGAAGATCGTTCAGGATTTTCTTGTCCAGTAGGAATACAGAAGTGGACTGGGTATTAGCGTTTTCAAAGCTATTGCAAAGATGAGGAAGCGTTTAGCTTACCCTTTGAGTCAATTTGCCTATGTTTTTGTTAAATGATAGCTATAATTTGTTACATGAAATCCATTTGGCGATGTAATTTTTAATTTAAGAATAAAACCAAGAGAGCATTTTAAATTCAAAGCAGCACCTCCAGTTCTTGTTATAAACATCCCCAACACACTGCCATCCCCCCCAGAACAGTCGGTGAAATGCTGACCAGGTTTGTCACTAACAGCACTGAGTCACTCGCATAGCTTCCTCGGTGATACAATTCTTTCTTATATATTTTTTATGGTATTGTATTTTTAGCAATAAGAATAATTATTGCCATTACTAAACATTTTCACTACCAATTGAATTATAATTTAAACTGAGATTATAAGTTTATGTCCATTTTTATTTACTATTTTTATATTTTCATAGAAGCATAATTTAAACTTACCAGTACTATAATTTTCAACTAACGGTGGCATTACTATCGTGGTACTACAGCCAAAACAGTAAAATTCTGCAATGGATTTCATCGGTTTCCTTGCCCCCATTCTGTCCCCACAAGGCCTTCACACAGATGAGCTCGAGCGTGTCGGCCACCTTGCCCAACACCGCCAAGCACACACTTCGCAGATGCAGCCTCTTTTTCTGCAGATCTGAGCCAGTCCTCTTACCGGGACTTCCCTTGCCTCAACTCTGCGCCCCAGCGAACTGCACGATTGGCAGATCGCAGCTCTCCCTGCCTGCGTCATCTCCGCCTGCTGAAATCCTAGCCATCTTCGATGCTCATAGCCACCGTTTGCCCTGTGCTTGCTGTGTGCAGGACACACGGCTCCCCATAATGCATCACAACCCAGGAAGGGGCAATACCTCTCTACCTTCTCCAAGTGGGAATGTAAAGCATAGAGAAGTGTGATTCCCTCAGGTCACACCACTGGTACGTGGGAGGGAGCCAGGACTAGAAGCCAGGTCTGTGGATTCCAGGCCCGAACCACTTCCCCACCTGGCTGGTGCTCTGCACCTTCCTCAAGAGCAGCCTCAGCCAGAAAGCTTTGCCCACTGTTCTGTTCAGCTGATAGGTCACTCTTCAGAACTGGAGAGTGAGGACCATTTTATCCTCTCTGTGCCCTTTGCAGCCCCTGCACAGGCTTGCTCACGTAATGGGAGCTCACTGTGTATTTGTTAAATTTACCTGGAGAACAATTCATCACAAAATGTAACATGCGGAGAGCAAATTCAGTGGAAGTTCTGAGGAGAGACACCGAGCAGTCACAGCTGGCTTCCTGTGGGGGTGGGGCCCCCGGGGGCCTCTGAAGGCCTGGCCCGGGAGTAGGAGGAAGAGGAGTCCGCCCCCACAGCCACCACGTCCTAGCTGAAGCAGCAGGAGGGGTGACGGCACGCATGAAGAGCTATGAAGAAAGCAGTGCCTAGTAGATTCAATGACTTAATGTGCTTTGGGGAAGGATATGAGATTGGATAGATTAAATGAGCTTTATGGATTATGGGATGATTTGGGTGCCAGGCAGATGTGCATAAAGCTTCCTGCTGCTTTTATATTCTTCGATGACACTGTTACTGATATCCATCTATGTTGTTGGTGTCGTTTTAGTTCCTTCATTTTTGATATTGTATAATATTTTATTGTGTGACTACTATCACAATTTATCTGTTTTAACATGGATGAACATTTGGCTATTTCCAGGGTTTTCACTATTATTAATTTCGCGGTTACGAGTATTCTTGTACATGTTTCTGGTGCAGATGTACCATTTCCTTGCCTCCTAGCTGATGGCTGGCCCTGTGGCACGCGTGTCCTCGGTTTTCTCTGAGATGAGGCCAAACTGTTTTCCCAGATGGTTGCAACCATCTACACTCCCACCACTGCGTGAGAGTTTCTGCTCCTCCGCGTGACTGCCAGCACCTGATCTGGTCATACTTTAACATTTTGCCTACTTAGTGTTAACTGTTATCTCAAATTTTCTCTTTATGGTATTCTGACTGTTTTTTAATGTCAATCTTTCCCCCCACGTTTTGTGCTTTTAGTGTCTTATTTAAGAAACAGCTCCCCATCATTGGGCCATAAAAATATGCATCTTCTAAAAGCTGTATAGATTTACCTTTCATGTTTCAGTCTCTAATCCATCTGGAATTTCCAATTAGATGTGTGTTTGGGAGTGTTTTTTTCTACACCCCTTTTATGTTTAGTAAACTGTTAAAAGTGAAGGAGCAGGACTAACCCCGGAGCTGTTAGGATGAGCTCTTTCTGTGCTCACATTTTATCTGGTGTACCTCTACACACCTGCCCTTTACCCAAGATACACAAGTTTCCTCTCCTTGCAACCTACGGCCTTCTCTGAAATTTCCCATTTACTCTGTATTGTAACCCCCTACATTAGGACCTAGTGCATCCCAGGAGAGTCTTGGACACACACGCACACCACAGTGGTTCAGCCCCTCCCTTTCATGATTCTAATATATCTCATTGACTCCCATTCTGAGGTGACGTGAACGAGGTTGGGAACAGGAGGCAGAAAGGGAAATGAAGGGAGGGCCAGCCTAATGGAAGGCTATGTCTGGGATCCATCAGGGAACAGGGGGAAGTTCCTGGCCTTTTCCAGTGGGGAATCCATCCCCCCGCCCCATTCCTATTTCCACACCTCCACACCCTGAAAAGGCTAGGTGAAAATGGGCAGGCAGAAAGGAAACTGGAAGCAAGAACTGAGGCTCCCTTGTCTGAGGCTAGAATATTTACACTCGCCAGAGTCAGCCAGTGCTGACACCTGATTTCCTGTATCACGTGAGTGTGTGTTAGCTGCTGCCCGATGAGAACATTAAGTCAGTAACAAATTGTATTTCCACTTCGGTGCCCCTTTCACCAATTCACAAGTAGTAAGTCACATGGCAAGGTCATTAAATTGTTGGTCTAAGTGATTGGTCTAATCATCCTCACCTAAGGAAGGAAAATTAGTTACTGAGAATAAAAAGGCACTGACTGTGCAGCAGTATTTGTGGATTACAATCTTGCACCTGACTCCCGCCCCCTTGGGAAAGCTGGACCAAATCTCCCTCAGTTTCTCTGGACCACAGATTACTTACTCATTGAGCAGGGGGATTAGTTCTAAAATTATCTGTTTTCCACAACTTCCTGTCTCCAGGCGTGGAACATCCTGGAGTCCTGTGCTCTTTCTAGAATCTTCCCATACCATTTATTAAATACTGCGTGTGACTCAGGTCTGTTCTCGTGATTCAGGGTTAGGTAGTGGAACTCTTGGAGCTTTTTGCTCGGCACCAGTTTTAATTCCTGTGTTGCCTCCAGCACCCTCAGGGATCAAGAAGAAAAGTTTCTGGGAAACACTGCAGCGTAAGGAGACTTAAGAGCTTCTGACTCCCAGCAAATGAGTGATGTGAATGGGAGTCGCAGACTCTGGATCTGGCTGCCTGAGCTGGAATCCCTCCTCAACCACTCACTAGCCGGCCTTGAATCTCCAATGAATCTCTTTATGCCTCAGCTTCTGCACCTGCAAAATGAGGGGAATAAGAGGCAATATCTCACAGGGTGGGTGTGAGGATTAAATCCGTAGAAATGAGTGTCTGGCACATGGTAAGCACTCAATTATTGTAAACTGTGTTTATGAAACCTTTAAGCTCAATACAAAATACCACATTAAATACTCATTTTGGGACATGGGTTATGTCAACATCTTTTAAAAGCAGATTTTTCCATGTGCTCTAGTGAAAAAAATTAACTTTTGTACTTAATTGTACCAAGAATCTCTGGCACAATTCCAGACATGGAGAATTCCAGAATCATCGATCAGGGTTTTCTTGACCTGAACTCACTGCTGTAAGAAGAGAACCACCAGAACATGGCCGGCTCTTGACTCTGCCTTTTAAACAACAGTAGAGCTTGTAATCCTTGCATTCACAGTAATACCTGTCAATCACCTTTTTCCTAATTAAATTTACCTGGAGTTCATTTTAAGGAAAATAATTTGTTCAGCCAAAAGTGGTTGCATATTTATGCTACAATTAGTTAAGAACTCCACAAATGAACTCCTCCCCCGGAGCCCCTGTAAAGAAAGGAGAATGCAGTTGAGAGCCTACAAGATCTCAGAGTAATTAAGCCTAGAAATGCAGGTGTTTGAAACACCTGTTTCCCCTTCCCGCCCACATAGCCTGCCCCCGCCACTCTTGATCAGCAGGTTAAAATAATTAACTTACCCATTGGGAGGAAAGCCCAAGAACTGCTAAGGGCAACAAGTCTCCTTTTCTCCCCTTTCTCAGATTAAAAGAGAAAAATGAAAAGGTTCATGGGTGGTCTGCAAACAGGAGGGGGAAAAAAAACTTTCCTCTGCTTAAAAAAAAAAGACAAAATCAGTGACAAGGAAGACATTGTCTCCCTCAAGCAGACTAAGTGGCTTGCTTAGGTTCAGAACTCTGTGTTTGTTTTGTGAGTGTGATTGCAGTGCTGTTCAGAAGCATGAAAAAGCCTATTTGAAGGGATATTTATGTGAAGAAATAAAGCAATTTGGGAGGATGTGGTTTTGTCTGACCTGCCTTTTGTGAATACCTGCAAATTTATATTAAATCTCAACAACAGAAGTCCCTCACAAGGATAAATTGTGGAAATTTTGTTGGGGCTTTTAAAAACAGAATAGTCCATAGCTAGGAAATCAAGAAATTGTTAGGGAAAAAGAAAGAAACACAGTTCAGTGTGGTGATTTGAATCAATTTAGTTTCGGCCTTTATGCTTTGTGGTTCTCGGTTTTGCTTCCCTGAGTTCCGCTAAGGCTACCTTTGAATACTGCTTGGCATAACTAGACAAAAATCGTGAGGGCAATTTTGTTTTTCTGATTACTGGTAACTTTGTTCAAAGCATACATTTTGGAAACTTTTGGATTTTAATTAAAATGGGTGTTTTTGGAAGATGGAACGATAATACAAGTCAGGTGTCAGCTGATAATCGGAAACAGGTTTGATATGCACGTGCCTTTGTCCTTTTCCATTTTTCTCAAGATGATTTATCATGACCCCAGTTAGAAACTGGACTTTAAAAGCTTTGTGACAATGCTCACATAAAACACAGATGGTAGGAAGCCAACCCCTAATTCTGACCAAAATATTTGTTTACATGATGCCTACAGTATTCAGAGCATTCTTCCATATGATCTAGGTAAGGTAGGTCTCAGAACACCTACCATAGGGAGGAGGAAATTAAGGAGTCCAGGTACGCATGGAGAGGGGAAGGAGAGCGCTCTGGTCGTGGAGGGAGCCTTAGGCAGCTGGCCGTGGAAGATACAGTCAACCTGGGATTCCTTCGCCACCACCCATGCCACCCCCGCCACCATCGCCTCTGCCCCAGGCTTTCTGATGCTAAATCTAGTGCTATTTCCTCTACCACCCATGCCGGGTGAATTCCTCTAAAAGCAAGGCATTTTTCACAACCCCGAGCTGAGGCTCCCCGTATCTGTGCCGAGCTCCTGAGAGCAGCAGTATTTGTAAATGACCAGCAGGTGGCGGAGTCAACCCTGTTCCCAATTCCCAAGTCAACTCCAGTGACCTTTGTTATTTGAAAAGTTAACGGCTGAAAAAAATCAGTATCGGCTCAAGTACATTTAGCATTCGTGGTTTCATTAAAATATCAGCAATAATAACATTTGACATAAAGGCTTAAGTCCACTGTCAAGCTAGATACTCGTGCTAGCTTTTTCTTAGATCGTTTCACAACGGCAAAGTTAATTTTTAAATTCCGATTCTCTCTTTTCCTCTCACTGTGATACTGAGTCAGAGAGAAGTGCTGGCTTATGAGTTCATTTTCTCTGGAAGGAAATCTTTGTGCTGATTAGCTAGGTGTGACATACATCCACCAAACAGCACAGCTCCGTCTCGGTCCAGGAATGTCTTTATTAAGTGTTCACTGTTGAGCACTGGTTTCCCAACTCCTCTGGCTTGGCGTTTCGCGAGGCTGGCCCACAGGAAGTGCTGGAATTTCATTGCACTCCTGGCTGCATCCTGAGCTGCTCCGTCCTCACCAGAGCCTTCTTCTCCTTCGTAGTGTTTTATTTCATAGTGCTATGATTTAAAGGGTTCGAGGTCTCTGAAATCTTTTGGGAAATACTTTCTTCAGCTCTTTTCGCATATTCTTGGTAAGCACCAATAATGATTATAAAGGGGTTTCCATCCAAACATCTTCAGCAACTTTTACTTAAAACACAATCATACATAAGTATTGTATCCATTCACAGCTCTTTTCACACATACATGCATTTGCCTTTGCATACATGTGTAGACATTTACATGGATTTGTATAAGTATCAAATCTCATTAAGGTGAGTTTCATTGTACATTGTATATTGTTCATAATACAGTTTCATTGTATCATCCAGCTTCACACATTGTTTTGGAATTTAGATGCCAGAAATATACTTCAGTTAAATAAAAAAAAACTAGGTTATAAGCAATCGGAACTAAGTGACACCACCTATTTCCTATCACTTATAACTTGGGAACTTAAAGATATTTTATCTCTAGTTTAATTTTTTTGCTAGGAGACTTACAATATATATAGGCATTCATCAATGAATTGATTTTACAAACTGCACATTAAGAATATACATATTAATATCTATTTATATGTTGTCTTTTTTCAGAAACAGATTTCAAAATGACTCACAGAGTGATGAGAGTGCATACACAATTGCTAGAGACTTGAGGAATTTTGTTTTAAGGATGAAAACATTGGGGTCCATAATGGTTAGGACTTTACTCAAAGGCCTAGAACTAACTAGTGATTGAAGAGGGACTGGAATAGGAGGTTTGTGAATTGAATAAAATGGAGAATAATTCAGTGAAGCTTTAAAAGACGTGTTAGTGAATAGGTGAGCAGCTGTTAAAGGAATCAAGGAAGTAGTAAGGCTTATGGGAAAAGGCGGAAATGTGTACGCTTGTGTGGAGTGCTGTTCTACAGCGGTGAAGGGCATGCACAGTTGCAGGTGGTGGTGGTTGTTTATGGATCTTTCCATTTTCTTTGGAAACGAGAGCAATGCCTTCCTCCCAATTCCAGAGCGTTTTGAAGAATGGAATAGAGTTCAATAAAAACTGGGAGAAGAACTCAGAAATCCTTGCATTTCTTCTCCTTTATGTAACAAAGAGATAAATCCAGCTGAGGACTAAAATCCAATAACTATTTCATTTATATTACAAATATTTTAGCACTGCTGCTAATCTTTAATAAGCATACATTAATAACTGACCCTTCTAGAATTACGTAACACCGTTTATGAGTTGATATGCATTTCAGCTGACCAAATGGAAGCAAATGTTAACAGTGAGGTTTAGCTGACTACTTGCTCTAAGTCACTCTAGACACTGACTGAAGAGTGGGGCTTATTTAGCACATCTCAGATCCTGCCTTAACACTCTTCCTTTTCAAACGAATTCAAGGGAACTAAACAGCACCAAAGAATCCACCAACCAGGAGTGGAACACTGGTGACAGTGATTTTAGAAATCATTCTGACTTTCCCTGAAGTTCAACAACCCATGTCATAAATCCATGTTGAACTCCCCCTGCACCCAGTGCCCCCACCGAAGAGTGCCCGCACAAACACGCACACATTTGACAAGGTTTATGTTTTATCCTGGAACAAAGCTAAGCCTACATAAAATTTGCTCTTTGAAATGTATGCTTTTTTGCTTGCTTTTCCAACATCGTAGGTTTCTTTACTTTATAGATTGGGTTGAGAGCCAGAAGATTTTTTTTCCTGTTTCATCCTAAAAGCCTGGGGATCAATGCCAATTGCATACTTAGATATCAAGGCAACTTTTCCAGCTGTGCTCCAACTGTTTTCCATTGTGCTCGCTGCCATGTCCTTGGTGTCATTTTTCTGATTTGAGTGAAACCTATGTAAGACATTAATTGTGTCTCATTACTGGTCCCTGCTCTTCCTTTCAATCCTGGTATGTATGAATGCTCCAAGAGAAATATAACCGATAAACAAAACAGCAGTGTGTTCCTCTGCACATTGTTCAAGAGGCAAAGAGTATGTGAAAAATTCATATTTGCCGATGTATTGCAGGCATTTTGTGGGGCCCTTTAAAAAAGTCTATTACTGCTCTACTTCTACCACAATACCACTTCAGACCCAAGTATTGAGGTGTTTTAACCAGACGGATAGTAATTACAAATTCTGTTAAAATACTGCAGGATTTTGTGTAGCATTGCAAATTATTAACAGAATAAAAAATGCAACTATCACAAACCTGGGGGAAATGTAAAATAGAAAAATAAAGATGTTACTAAGATTGTTTCTGAATGATTTATTAACATTTTAGCCTGTGTTATCTACAATCTGAATTCAAAACAGTCAAAGAGGTGAGCTAGTAGAAACCATAGGCAAGGAACATTTAAAGTATTTAAAACTATGGCACAAACATGCTCATGTTGATTTTAAATTTGATAAGTGCTGTTTTAATATGGAGGTTGTAAGAGAGTAATTACTAAATGATGTGAAAATCATCTGTTCAGAGAATTCTTATAATCTCCAGAGGCAAATATGAGCATCAGGACCAAAGTCTTCAACAGCACTGTAAAAAGTAGCTTTCTCTTTTGTTCAGCCAGAGGGTACCAGAGATTTTCAGAAATGTGAAGTCCATCAGCTATGAACTCCAGGCCTGACTAAACAAGAGCTAGCATAATTGTGATACTTTTATCATGGAGCAATTTCTGGCATAAAATATACATTGTACAGCAGAACAAAGTTTTAAGAATTACAGAGAACATTAACTGAAAGTGATAAAATTTTTGGATTCCAACATAATTTTTTAAAATGTATATATATTTTCATTTGTCCACATGATTATGATCTCACATTGTTGAGAATGTAGTGAGAAAGTACAATACTTATTTGACATTTTTGTGCATTGTCAACTTATTTTAATACTACACTTTTTGTAGGTTTAAGTGTGCTTCCCACAGTTTTATTCACTAAGAAAACAGAATATTTTAAGTGGAAATAAAAATTAATCCTTAAAGATAACATCATTAAGGGGAAAAAATCTTTTGACAATTACTACTTGATTGTGGTTACACAGTCATTGTACAAGAGAAAAAAATGAGGATTTAAGGGGACCAATGGCCTGAAATTATTCTTTCTTGTATTGAAAAAGGTTAATTAGGAATTGAGCTCAAGTTATTTTTTTGAAGGTCAGCTCCTATGCTTTTGGGCCGTGTGACCCTGTCTCAAGTAATCATAGCATTAACATACAAGTTATAGCTTTCCTTTCACTTGATGACATAATCTCTTTAATTGGTGTCGGAAAGCCTGCATGTGAAAGAACCGTGGAAAACACCTAGAGACTATAATTTTATTCTCTCCATTCACAGGGCAAAAGAAGCAAGTCTTAAGAATGCACTAGACTCATTACAGTCCCCAGACTGTCAACACAAAGCCCTCGCATTTCAACCCAAAGATTTCAGAATGATCAACTTCGGCTGGCGAACTATTAACCTTTTCAGAAAAACTGGTGAATGTTAAATGTCAGATAATCTTCCAGAAGAAAGCTAAGAGGGTGGATAGTGTGGTTTAACTACTTAGACATAAATGTGAGAAGGTAATATTCGCAGAGTTTTTAAGCGTGTTCTCTGAAAGAAACTAGTGGAGTGAGACTCCCTAACTCTTTCCACTACCTGCTTTTTCATAAATCCCCCAGAGCTCACCATGCAGACTTGATGTGGCCCATTTTCACTTGAGAGTTTAAACTCACCTTATGAAGGGAATCGATCAGCATTGCTGTGAACCTGTTTTCCCAAGGATCCTGTCTAATATTGAAGAAAGCTCCTGTGAAGTAACTCTTGAAATAGCCACTATTAAACTTTTGCAGGAATATGCTTTTAAAAAAGGAATAAGGGAATGCTGACACTTGCTAAGCCCACCAGCATCAGTCTAGCAACTGCCCACTGCACAGTGGAAGGGCCCTGGGTCTGCTATGAATGTAGCTCCTGTCCTTTCAGTACTGGGTATGTCCATTGTCACCTTTCATGTTCTTTTTTACCTCTTGAGTTCTGGCACGCCTTCTTAAAAATTAGGTAACCAAGAAGTACTGTGCCGAGACTGCTTTCTGCTGGGCCTTCTATGGGGTGCCATCAGCAATGAGGCCAATATGGGAATGTGCCACCGAGCAGAGATATAAAATAATTCAGGACTGGTTCATCTTTGGCTCTGATATAGATACTGGACTCTCCCTCTTGTGCCTTGTCTAGACATAACTATATTCTGAGAGTGTGGGAAGAGAGAATGGGGGTGGAAAAGGCAAGCAGGTGCTCATTATTGCAGACAGTGCAGTACTGCCTTCCTGTGACAACTGCTAGACAATAGCTATACTGTGCATTGACATGTCTTTAATCATGTCTCTGTGTAGATAATAAACTGGCCTTTTGGGACCTGTTTTGTGTTTAATATAATCTCCTATTTTTCTGCCCAGATATACAGTGCACACAATTCATTACTTTAGTCCATTAACTAACATAGTCAAAAATACCAGTGGATTTTCATCATAGGGACATAGCAACTTTCACTTTCAAGGCTAGAAAGCCAGAAAATAACCTATTTTGCCCTGTTATTCTGATTTAATCACGGTCACAATTTTATTAACCAGCAAATTAACGATGTGCAAAATTGCCCTCACTACATTCGTCTTTGTTTCACTCTGTGCCGACCTGGTGCAGCCTCGGTAATACCAGGGACTCACCACCTCACTCTGCCCTGACAACTGAAGTATTATTTTTCACTTTCAACCACTCAATAAAACCAACAATGCTCTTTCCCAACCAGAATTTTCAGCAAAATCTGAACTCCATCACCTAATTGAAATGATAATGTAATGGGGAATTGGCATTCCTTTATTACTTGGGAGCTTTTCTTGGGAAGAGGAATTAAAAATCACATTAATGTCACCGTAAATCTAATCATCATTAAGATCTATCAGTATTTCCTCACTCCCTTCAAGAAAAGCCCTCAGTTCCAGCACATGAGGCTGGATGTGATCTGGCCCTTGAATACCTCCATACCTCCA